GCAAAAAAGAATTTGTCCGATCAGACTGGCTTTTTGTCAGGTCAAAACTTGTCCTTGGCCTGACAAATGACCTGCTTATAGACAAAAATTATTTGCAGGTTTGCTCGTGAAAGTTTGGGAGAACTCGAAAAAGCTGTGGAAACATTCGCCCACGGCTCCTGTTCACACAGCATTTCTCGTTCTACCAAACTTCCACTCGTGTTTCTATAACTCGATAGAAACACGGTACATGTTTTCTATTTCTTAACTATATTTCAGTACGTTACCTTGCGCAGGAACACTGTGAGCATCGCTTAAAGATTGCAAGAGTTCTTCCTCGGTGGCAGAGTATCTCATTCTGTACGTTTTATTAATGGTCGAGGCTCGTTTAAGGTCTGACAGCAATTGAGAACTTAACTGGAGGCCTGTGAAAAATGATGAAATGCCGTATGGATCACACTTCCAGTGGTTACACAAGAAAGAATTCAAGTTGAGCATAAGATTTCAAATGAGAGAACCTTCACTTCCAACTGTGGAGTGAGTAGTGTTTGCTCTGTGCACCTTTCGTTTAGTATCTTTAGGCCTGGAACTGAAACAATTTTACATCAAGAGTTACCAAACACAACAATCAAAAAGTAGCATATACGGTGTGTGTGACTGTTTGAAATGTGCGTAATGCAAATTTAAAGGGGTTCAGCCGCTTTCTCGAGTCCGGTCTACGTTCCTCCCCGAGAGGAGAGTTCGGGGGAGGAGCGGGCTCCTTTCCCGAACAGCGGCTGGTAATCGAGCCTAGATCAGCCTGTGAGCACTTCGCTCTTACAAACAAATCTAACTAACAAATTAATTAAATAATCAAGTACAAGTACAATGACAACACGTGTTGTTTACCGTGGAATATCCGTGTCCATTTCTGGCAAGTGATGGGGTACCGACAGGTCCGGTTCAGGGCTGCCACACCCATCATCATGGTCAGGGGGGATGTTCCAAGTTGCACCTGGCACTTGCAATCCTGAGTTGACACAAACACTAGCTGCAGAACCTAATGATAACAACGAAGATATTGACAACATAACCATGCATGCTGTTAACTTCCATATCAGACCCAGCTGACCATGCTAGAGCCGGGTAGAGTCTATAAAATAAGGAGTTGTGTCCATGGTATCACACAGGTCAAACTTGCCTTTTTTCTCTCTACATTGTAGCATTCATTAGCGGCTGTACGAAACACGTTACAGTGATTATTTTGTGCTACCCTGGCATGTTAGTAGATGTTACATGGCTGTAATTCTTAGTAAAAAGTCATGAATGCTTTTATACCATGCATAGTCATATGTAAACCTGCGAGAACAGAGATAAGTTAATACCTGTTTTTTTGAGTGAAGCGCGATTTTTGCCATCACCTCCATCCAAGCTGGGTAGTGAAGCACCTCTGCGGTGAGGTCTGACATTGCCTGCTGCAGCAGATCTGGACACCTTAGGATGACTTCCATTGGACAGAGATTCTACACAGAAAACAACAACTGTTCAACACACACTCAAATAACACGCCATCCAACGAACAGGCTCCACACAAGACAACACAAACCTTGTAAGTGACACAACAAATTTCGAAAATTCCTAACAAGTGCTAAACGGAATAAAGCCTGAATGTGTGGTGGGCATGCACTGGCAGGAGAAAAACAAATAGTTTCAAAACAAAAACAGTCATTCAACACTAAACAGAATATAAAATCACCTTCTAAGGCTTTTGCACTGTCAAGAGAAGCAGCGGCAGCCTTGTGAGCTTCTGCACGAGTTAAGCAACTCTGCAATCTCTCCAGCATACTGCTGGTTTTCTCAAAGCGAGCTCTCTTTTTCATCCTATCTTTGTGTTTGTCGGACTCATCTCCTCGCTTTGGCCATTCCACCAGTGTAACATAACGCCTTGATACTCCAGGAGCATTCCAGCGCGACCCTCGCGGACCTCTATTGTCAAATTTAAGCAGATTGAGAAGGGCCCTTTCCTCTGCATCTATAAGAGGGCTTTGATTGGTAGGAAGGCAGTTGGAACAGCTTGCCTGAGTTGACAATACTTCTGGCTTTGGTTCTTCCTCTTCTCGTTGCTCAGTCACGCAGTTAATATCAAAGAATTCAAGTTCAACATCATCCACATCCCAGGCCTCTTGCTCCTCCTGTTGGGCAGTAGCATGGTCGTCCTGGGGACTCTCTGAACAAGGAACAAGATGTTGCAAAGCTTCCTCCTCTAGAGTTTCATCTAAACGAATAAATCATCACTTGTAATGCCGGTATTGTCACAGGACTCGCTTTCTTAAGAGAGCCTCTAACAAATGTAGCATTAGCTAGTTGTCAATAAACCACCAAACTGTAAACAACCAACAAACAACCAGTATAACCTAAGCCCTTACTTCCCAAGTAGCTGATAAAGTTCGTTATTGATTCCAAGAATGTATGTAGGACAGCATTAAATTTAGAACTTAGATGCAGTAAAAAATATGGGAATGGCGGCGTTGCTGTCTGGAGATCGTCAGAAAACAGACCTGCAATAATTCGGAGTGAACTGCGAATTTTTCACTGCACGAATGAACTGGTCTTAACAAGAAATCACAAGAAGAGTATAACATACAAGTAATAGTTACTCTACGGAGCTTCTCAAAATGCCAAACGAGATTAAAACAAATTTGACGTCTTCAAGCGTCCAAGTGTTTAGCACTGCCGTGCTAATTGGGGACACTGAAAATCAAAATGCAAATGAGGATGAAGATGAGAACTGCATCGTCACAGCACCACTCCTCTGTGTACCTCTTAAGGACTGCTCCTCCATTCCTTCTGGTTCAGATGTCTCCTCTTCAGCTTCAGCCCTTCCTTCCACTTCATTATCCTCCTCAACACTGTCAGCAGCACTTTCCTCCTCGTCTTCCTCTGCATTATCATCTTCTTCATTCAAGTCTCCATCCACCAATTCTTCGCCTTCCTCTGATGCCGGAAGTATCGGCCCTAAAACAAGATCGCAATTAGCAATGGCGTTTGATTGTCTGAACAGACCATGATCTCTAACCAACCCAGTTAGCACGTCCAGTATGCCAGTATGAAGGCCATCATGGCATCTTTAGCATGTCCATAAGTAAAGAAATTGATTATGGATAACGCCTCACAGTAGGATTAATTCTGGAGATGGAGAAGGTCCCCTCACAAATTCTTCTGACTTTTATTCATTATTCCCATCCACTGACTACAGTTAAAGTTTCATCTTGCAACTTGTTGAAAGACTCTTCTCCCTTTGTGAGTATAGTGCGTTTTGTAAAATAATAATAATAATAATAATAATAATAATAATTATTATTATTATTATTATTATTATTATTATTATTATTATTATTATCACCCAACTAGTGGACTAATGCAAATCCTGCATTTTAATTGGCACGCTACAAGAGGACTATTAGTAATAGTAATAGTCCTCGAGTAGCGAAATCGACGCGATTGAGTGACGCTTTTTTCTTTCGTTTTATTCCCAAATAAATATTTCTTCAACTTGCATTTGCTAACTTTATTATTCCCTTTTCTGTCCAATTAATTGGGTGATACTAAAACAATTAGACCCTTCGCCCTCAAGGGCCACGGGTCAATTGCTCATGAGGGCTACGGGTCTAACTGTTAATTATTATTATGATTATTTAATTAAAAAAGGATCTCAGCATCGAACCTCCGACATCATCAATACCAAACGTGACATTGCACACTCTTCAGCCTCTAGCGAATCCTGGATGAACTATCCTTACTATACCTGAGGCTGTTTCTACATCCAGTGCTGTGTGCACTGTAACACGTGGTCTGTTGGACTGCACCTGGCGTACCATCACCTGGCCCACATCACTATGTTGCTTAGTTACCAAATGATCATCATCATCGTCTATGTTGTCTAATGACTGCTCCAGAAGAGACACGTGACTCATGTCTGACACACTACCAGCTGCCGTCGCTGTAGGAGTTGGTGCATGGTTTCTGGATAACTCGATGGCCAGTCGCTGTGTTTTAAACAAGTTGTTTGATTAGTAGTTACACAGTGGTAAGACAAGTAAAACAAACTACAGACTGAGAAATTACACTGGAACCGATATTCCAAATATCTTGTTGCTAGCTCTATACGTCGACTATAAGCATGGTCATCAACATGTATGGAGTACAAAGAGTTGAATCCATCTTGAGTTTCTTAGACCTTAGTACTTCACTATGCTTGATTTTACCAGCTGGATTTAAACACGGAGCGGTCGCACAACATAGAAGTCGGGGAGAAATAGCGTTTTTCTCGTTAAAACAACAGAGTCATTTACGTATAATAATATAAGGTGAATAAGAAAAATACCGTGAAAATAAAACTTATATTAACACTTTAGAAGATGCCTTTGGAAGGACAACAACGATGAATTATCTTTGTCACTTCACGGAACATTCAAATTTCGCCGCTAACTAAAATAACATTTAGCTGTTGCCTGCGATACATGAGCTATCTGTTTGCATTTATCTAAGCATGCCGAGAACGAAAGCAAATCTCATAAGAGGTGATTTTGGTTAGCCTATGAACACAGAAAAATTATTCAGATTTATAAACGTTATGATAGTGCAAACAAAATGCAAACTGCACAGCGCTGAGTTATTCCTCAAATTGTTCTATATTCAGAGCAAAGAAATTGGAAACAAAAAGTACTACGAAGAAGCAAAGAAAACTTGAAAATGGCAAAGTGAGATTTCGCCTGAATATTGACGTTAGAAAGGAGAAGGAAGACTCATGGCTGAATGCAATAAAAACAAAAATTGCGTTCGTAAAAGGCCGACTGAATTTTAGGAGCAAGAGTACAACAGCAGCCAATGTTCACCTTATGGAATCTCTTTTAGATACCTGGCCGAAGAATAACCATATTACCGTAGATAAAATATGTTACCTTCGCAGTCTGCTTGTACCTGGTTTTTTTTTTACGAGTTTTAGTTTCCAAACTTATTTCTCAACCGCGTTAATCCTCGAAGGAGCAAAGACACTCTGGCATCAAAAGAACAAGACACGGCATTTTTTGAGTGAACAGCTCGAATTCATACGATAGGCTTTCGCAAGTGGAGGAACAAAATTATGAAGTTGAAATTAAAAAAGTCAATTTTCTTTGTAAACTCTTCTCTTGAAGCTATCGTTGATCTAGTGTAAAAGGCATTGCTTACTTGTAAAATAAAACAGAAAATTACACCCGTCGCTATCCAGAATTTTGTGGCAACACGCTAAAATTAGACCTAAGTGAATGAGCCAATCAAATAGGAGCATTGGTCGTCCGTTGGGATTTGTGATTGGCAGGCTGAACACCTCAGCCTTGTTGTATAGGATCGCTCCGTGTTTAAAATAATTGAAATTTTAAATTAATTGCATTTCAAATTGTTGTCACTTAATTCAAAATTAGCCTGCTCGAAGGCTGCCATTGGGTTTGAGTTAAGGATGATTAAATGTAATGTAAACTGGGGAAGCCTAACGAAGAAACAGAAGTCATGGATCTTTATCGTAAGTCAGTGGACATACCACTGTCAGCTATCTGGTTCCCTTGCACCTCCTTGAAATTACTCTCATGGTGCATCGTATCAAATTCGTGATGTCTTGTTGAAAATAAGCTTGGTTTACACTGAGTAAGAATAGACTCACCTGGGCCTCTTTAAATTAGCAACTCTTTTTACACAATTACTGAACTCATTGAATCACCTTCCTTTTCTCTAAACATAAACTCTTGCTTAAAGCACACCACGCTAAAACTGGATTATTGACACGGTTTGAAAATGCCCAGGCACATGCTTTGAACAATATCCATATTAAAATGATGATCTGAGCAGAGACTGGGCTGTATGGTATCAGTTTTACTGAATTTTTACGGAAAATGTTAATGGCATTCAAATTTATGAGTGCTATAAGAGTACTCTCTTAGTGAATTGTCAGCTGATAAATACAATATAAGTACCTCTTTTAAGTCGTTAATCTGTTGTATGTACTGGGTCTGACCAGTTTCAAGTTGATTGATATACCTATATTAAAAAAAAAAACACAGATACAATCAATTATATATTCAAGAACCGACTTCAAGTGAATCATTTAATTCACAGGGTGTGGATGAGGTTTAATGCATGGTTCAACTCAACCACCATGCAGATCCTCCATTCAGGCAAGGAGTTGGCTGTAAAGTTGGATCATAATGTGCAATTCTTGCGAATTTTTTGTTTGTTTTTCATTACTACATTTTTAATACAAGTACCATGACTGTATGAACAGGTCAAACTGCTTACCACTGCTGGTCTCTGCACTTTTGGTAGAAGGTTGGAGGTCTGACTTGAAATCTCAGAATCAAAGTATCGTTTGCTGTATTCAAATAACCTTCACTTCCCTACACAACAAAAATAACACTGCATCATTTATCCACAAAATAATGATTACCTGTACAAATACCATTGTTTTCACAAACAAAAACGAATAGACATGCCAACTGCTAAACTTGCAAACATATATGACAAGCCTTTTTTATCCCCAGTGATTTTCTTTTTATAATTTAAGAAAAGCTGGAAAGAAAGAACTTTTCACACTGCTACTTACCAAAAGATCCAAACGGAAAAATCTGTTATAACCCCAACATTCACCAACTTCAAAGTCAGATGCTGCAAAAAAGCATAAATAATTTTTTAAATTTCTAAATTCCACAATTTTGCATAAGGGTCTATAAGCAAGGCTTGTTGAAAGCACGTCAATATGAAAAAATGATCGTTCCTTTTCATTTTCCCTTATTTTTGTATTGAAGTGCTTTCCACAATTTCGTTTTAATTTTGTTTGACATGTATACAGTGCATTGTACAGTGAGCAAACCTTGCTTACAAGTGCTAGTCACAGATAGAATAACCTAAAATGTTGAGGAAGTACCAGTAAAAAGTACTTTTAATAGGCTTTATTTTTTACTAAAAACATATAATTCTATCTCAATGTATGTATGTGATAGCTTGTAGATCGGAAACAGAGGTAGAGGTTCTGCTTTAAGCACTGACTAGGGTCACTAACCTATTCGCATCAGGATGTATACGAGTACAAGATTAATCAGGAAATCAAATAAAAGACTGTGTGTAACTTGTGATGGATTAGCATCTTGTCAAGACTTCTTACGGCTTACAAGTCTTAGTGTGATAAGTAATGTATTGTTGTTACATAGAAGCAACCTGATGTTGAACACTCTTGAAAAGGGGTTACTACAAATGGGCAGAACAGCGCTTTGATTCACTGCAGCTGCAACTCACCAAATTCCCTTACAATATTTTTGCTTGAGTCAGGAGAAGCATGGTGTATCATTTCCACTCTGTATTCATACCTTCAAGAAAGGAAATATTATCAATGCAATTGCCATACACTGTTAACAAATTATGAACAATAAAGAATGTAATTGTCAGACATCCTTGCATCAGGAGTGCAGTCAAAAGCCCAGAAAGCCCAGCAAAGGCTGGCCTGGCTGGCCTTGCCAGGAAAGCGTGGCCTGGAAAAGCATGGCAAGCGTAGTCAAGGCCGTGCTTTGTGGTAACCCAAACCACAAAAGCATGACTTCCCTTGCCAAGCAACAAACAATGCCAGGGTTTCTTGGACTTTCTGGGCGAGTAAAAAATCCACAAATTTCTGGCATTCCTTGCCATATCAATGCAACTGCCATACTGATACACTGTTAACAATTTATGAATAAAGAATGTAATTGTCAGACAAGAGTTAGAGTTATTACTTGGATGTTTCTGGTAGTCCTGCTGAGAGTTCAAGGAACACAGACAGGTAGTTACCTCTCACTACACCATTACCATCCTAAAAACAACAAGAACAATTTATTCTTAATAAACATAGCTGCGTGACTGGACCTTTTGGTTTCCGAGTCATGAGATGTACTTCTGACAGCTATGGATACTACTGAATCAAATACTAACTGTTTTGGATTTGCCTCCTACTTTACAACAAACATGTAAACATTATAAGAAACAGGCATAAATTTTAATCATATGTGAGTTCTAACACTTACTGGATACACCTTCAGTCTCCAGCTTAGTCCACTAATATTTAAAGGCTCACTGTAGACAGGATCTGCTTTCCTGCGTAACAAACTGTGTGTGTACACATAAAGTTTACGTAAATAAAAATATGGGTCTAGCAAAATCCCACTCAAATATGATGGAGGCCACTAGCACATGACAATCTACATTTAAAACAAACATTGTTTTTTTTATTTGTTCATAAAATTGTGATGTTCAATTTAAAAAATGGAAATTTACCTGAAATTTGTTATACAGAATGTGCTAGTGTCGTATCCTGGTACAATTTCACTGAAAGTCAAGAGCAACTGTGTGTAAAAAATACTGAGAGTGACTTTAAGAAAACTATACTACTTATTGATAAGCAAGTACAATCTGATCAGGGTACTGAGCCAGTGTCAATAATATAAATTTACACAACAAATAAAGAAAACTGGTTAGTATTAAAAAAAAGTGATGTCAGTGGACTCCTATCCATTTCCATCTTTCCTGGATAAGAACTACAGAGTTGCAGGCCGAAGAACGAAAATCCTGTTGATCATGATAGGATGACCAAAACAAACTACAGTCGAACCTCCCTTAAGCAACCACCCAAAATGCCAAGCCTAAGGTTGGTCGCTTATTGGGTCAAAATGTTGCCTCATTAGCATATGGTAACTGCAGAGACTTACCCAATGTTTTACATGTTTTATTGATGTCAAAAGTCAATTTCTAGAAAATAAAAATATACTGTACTTGCCATTGAGAAATTTCGTCTCTTGTTGCTGCCAATAGGCAGCCTTCATATTCTTGAAGCAATTGAGAACTGTGGTTCCATCGACCCATTGTTCCATTATTTGCATTAAGAAACAGGCTATCAGGAATCTTTTTATATAACCCTCTCTAGCCAGTCAGCAGCTGTGTTATAACAGATGAAACACATGTGCTCGCTCAGCAGGAGAGTCGAGGTTTACCCTGTTTACAGGTGAGTTGTGGCATTTTTAGTTTCTCTGATCGCTTTTGCCAATCTGTTATGGTTACTTCTATTCGAGGAAGCATTCATTAAGGCCATCAAGCTTTCAGTGAGCATTCTAGAGGCATTCTAGAGGCATTCATGCATTTATGTCACTTGCAGCTTTGGTTTTCAATCGATCGGATTCGGTCGATTCCTGGACACAAGCAAATATCGATGACCTAAGGATCAGTTCGTGAAGCTGTTACTGGGCTTGAAAGACATCGTAGTAACATACAATAAGTGTGCCAAGGTAGTAACTAAAATAATTGTTAGACCACATGTATTGTCCATTTCCATCATGACAAGCTTAAGGTCATTCCTCACATTTGCATTGCACATCCTTACTGCGCATAATTTATGGCGTCATTAGCGCGCGGTTGTGCACGCGCATATTGAAAACATGACGGATTTGCCTTGATATTGAGCTCTGTCAGTTGAAAAATGGCTATAGCTTACCAACGAGCATGGGCACCCCAATATTTTTTCCAGTCATTGTAATCAACTAATCATAACCTTTGCGTGAGAAAAGACTGATCTAATTTCTATTGCTGAAAATTGAATAAATAAGAAAAATAGCAGATACACTGTGGTCTTTTCTATTTTGCAGTTGGT